GTGTCACGCATTATCCCCCTAGCGCAATAACACGACACGACGATGATGTGTCGCCCCTTGTCCATAGAAATATTTTATAAAGCGAAATGTGAGATATTTGCTGTAGCACTTTATTAATTGTTTTTTTTTACGTCACGTGTCGGATGAACATTATTTTAACTTATATTTGTATAAGTGGTAGTAAATTACGTGGGATAAAACAAAAGTTGAAAATCTACGACTGAAGAAGGAACACGCTCCTGCCAGATGCATCCTCACTAATGGGAAATCATCTTTTGAAAGTCTAGAGGCATGTCTAGGTTAAGGATGGAAGATAAAATAGAGTATCTATTTCACTTGTAATATAAATTCGATTTAGAATAATTTCACAAATAGCGTGGCATTATTTATATCTCATTTTCTATGCAGATTAATTTGCAATTTTCCTTAACCTAGACAGACAATTTATTACGTAGTTTATGTATATAAACAGAATTAAAAACGAATATTTACATTTGCACAAGGCCGACTCTACGCCCAGTGTTCGCCTAATAGCTTTTTCTATCAGACGTCGGTAAAATTTATCCGTAAAGGAACACTGTGAACAATAGATAAGAGTAAAAAGATTCCTATTATTCTTATTATTCTTATTATTACGTTATTATTACATTCACTGCGATAAAATATTTTATTATTATTATTATTATTATTATTCTAATTATAATTATACAGTTACACTTTCGCGTCTCCCGCACGAAATGTGGATGTATAAATTAATTCTCGCTCTCTTCAGTAATGTTTCGCGCAATATCGTTTCTCCGTATTCGCGTGCGAGACTTAACACGCCGTAGATATCCAATGGCCGAAATTTTTTTCACTACTTTTAATCTTAAACACGATCATCTGATCGTGTTTGATGAATCGAATGTTGCACATAACGTTTGAAACATTTGTGAGAGAGAGGTACATTGGATGCAATCGCGTGACAGATACATTGATACTGCTATCTTCATTATTGCAACGCGTCACGGATCTCCGCGACGAGGGATCCGGCTGTGATCGACGAGCGCGTCACTCGATGTCACATCCGCTGAATTCAACATTCCTGCGATAAGAAGAGCATCCTCTCGTCACGACACGTCAGTCTCCTTTCGCGTAGTTGTACGATCTTAGCGTTACTCTTCGGTGTCCGGACAATGGTCAGCGATTCTAACGTCAAGTCATCAACCAAA